AGAGGCCATAAGAAGATCATTTGTAACCTTCACTAAAGCTGTTTCTGTGCTGTGATGAGCTCTGAAACCTGACTGAAACTCTTCAAATAAGCCATTCCTCTGCAGATGAGCTGTTAGCTTTTTTTATAACTACTCTTTCAAGAATTTTTGACCACAACAGGCTGGTAAGCAAACTGAACTGAGTCGAGAACATGTTTCACCTGCAAGACAAGTCAGGTAAGCCAAGCTTCTGGTGGGGTTGGAGAGCAGAAGAAAATTAATTGATGCGCACACAAAAAATAGCTCCTATATATTATTTTATATAATTTTCACACAATATAAACTTTTAATTCCACAAAACAGAAATTGTCAGCTATCAAATATGCGGCAAGTAAAAGAAAAACAAAAAATTCAAAAAGCAAAAATCTGAACTTCAACAATGTTACGTCTGAAAGTTCAGGAAAAGGTCAAACCTATCTCACATGTAACAAACCAACACATTTTCAAGTGTTTTTTTTTTTCAAGCTTGGCTTCCATGATAATATTTTTTCTGTACAAAGACTACAACTTCTGGCCCGTGTGAGTTTTCATGTGGCGCAACAAATGACTACTAGATATGAACATCTTCCCACAAGTTTTACAATGATACGGCCTCTCGCCTGTGTGAGTTCTTATATGCACCAATAAATGACTACTACATCTGAACATTTTCCCGCATGTTTTACAAGTATAAGGTTTCTCACCTGTGTGAGTTCTCATGTGCTTCAATAATGAACTATTACATGCAAACATTTTCCCACAGCTGTTACACAGATAAGGTTTCTCACCTGTATGAGTTCTCGTGTGCTTTAACAAATAATTTCTAGATGCAAACATTTTACCACATGTTTTACAATGATAAGGTTTCTCGCCTGTGTGAGTCCTCATGTGGATAGATAAAGAACTGCTACAGGCAAACATTTTCAAACAAGTTTTACAAGGATATGGTTTCTCACCTGTGTGAATTTGCCTGTGCTTCAGTGAATCGCTACTGTATGCAAACATTTTTCCACATGTTTTACAAGAATATGGTTTCTCACCTGTGTGAATTCTCATGTGGTAAGTCAAAGCACCCCTCTGAGTAAAACCTTTCCCACAAGTTTTGCAAAAATACGGTTTCTCACCTGTGTGAACTGTGTAATGTCTTTCCATTTCATAATTCTGCTTAAAAACTTTTCCACAAATCTCACATTCTAAAGACTTTTTACATTTGTCAGAGTTACACTGATTCTTCGACGTAGGGGAATCTACTGCATAGTTGTGACTTTTGGTTCTATTTGTATTTGACCCTGAATCTACATCCATGCTTCCTTCCTGATTTTGGCTCTCAGCAACAGCAGAGCTATGAGAGAGGAGATGATTGCCGTTTGATTCTGGTTCATTTTGCTCACTTTCCTCATAAACAGCAGTCACCATAGAGGTATCAGTCTCCTCCTGACTGCTGCACAGTTCCTCCTGTTCCTCTTTAATCTGTGGAGGTTCTGGTTCCTCCTGGTCCACACTGGAGCTCCTCTCCTGGTTCAAGAGCTGCTGCTCAGGGAGAACCTCCTCCTCCTCCTCTTTAAAGACAGGCTGCTGTGGGACATCTGGAGGGACGAAAGGAGAAAACAAAAAGGAAAGTGGTGTGGTAGAAAATCATCTCAGTAAATATACTAGCAAAATAATTTTCTACAACATGAACATGTTGTTCAGAAATACACAAAAAGCTTCCATTTCTGGTCAATGATCACTGATGTCAGTCCAGTCTTTATTCCAACCTTCCCAATTTTTTTTTTTTTTTTTAAATAGGAAAAGAAGTGATAATAATTTTTAAAGAACTCTATCAATTAGATGTATTTTGGGCAATTTCCATTGTAAATATTCAGGGGAAAAGAGAAAAGTAGAGTGGAGCTGAGCTGTGATGTCATGTCATCAAGTACAACACTGTTTCAATCATAAAATAACCACAGTGAGTCCTCGAGTACTTGAAAGTCTGGACTAATTGGTGAACTTGTCAAGAATGAACTAAGAAATACACAAGTATGAACCTGACTCACATGGTATTAAAAAAAAAAAAAGACCATTTACAGTATGGAGAGGGAGGGAGGGGTGAGACATTTGTAGACCAGTGAGGGGCTGTGATTCAGAAAGAACTGATGTACCATCCTGAAGAAATGATTACAACAGAAAATCGTATTTGGATGAGCAAGGAGCAGAGATGGAAATTTTGGATCACACTCTCAGGCCCCCTCCTGTATCTGAACAGTGTCTCAGCTGCTCAGATACATGAATGCCTGGCTTTCACTTAGGGAGCAGTTGGAGAATAAATGGAGCGCAGTGCCGTCCTGTCCTCTGTTTGCTCTTTGTTAGCTCACATCTCCAAAAAGTCCTCACAATCAGAAACGTCCCGCAGAGCTGTGATCAGGATGCTCCCTCAGAGGGACACTCACCTGTCCTGTGCAGCTTGATTTGGGGTTTCCAGGTGATATCCAGCAGTCTGCGCTGACGGTCGATCTCTTCCTCATACTGGACAGATTCATTAATATCTTCTAATATTTCTTTAGATTTGGACGGAATAAATGTATCAGGATCCTGAGAGAGGAGCTGCTTCCTGTGTGGTTCTGGTTCACTGTGCTCTCCTTCCTCAGCAGCAGTCACCATAAAGGTGTCAGGCTCCTCCTTCAGTCCCAGCTGCTCTCCCTCCTGACTGCTGCACAGTTCCTCCTGTTCCTCTTTAATCTGTGGAGCTTCTGGTTCCTCCTGGTCCACACTGGAGCTCCTCTTCTTACAGACATAATGCTGTGGGAGTTCTGGAGAAAGACAGGGACACATGCAAAAAGAAAGTGATGATGATAAACTCTGGACTCTTACTGCATTTAAAATTGTGGAATGATTGTGTCTGAGGCAGGTCCATAGTTAAAGTTTGAGCTCTAGAACATAACGTCTCAGCTTCAGCTCTTTGTAGACTGACTAAATTGTAGCTCTGTTGAGTTGTCTGGAATGTAAATGGCCTGTATTTGTATAGCGCTTTACACATTCAGTCATTCACCCATTCTCACACACCTACCTAAATAACCTCCTCTCTGAGACTGATTGAAGATGATGTCATTATTGGTCGATAGCATGTCAAAAAGCTTCCTAACTGCTGATATTTATTCGTTTTGGTGGCTCCATAATGTGCTAACAGTCTCCGTGCACGCTCGTGATGATCCTCAGAATCACTTAGATCCCGTTCATGCATAAAACTAATTCCCAGGTCTTTTGGATATATGGATTTCAAGGATCACTGTCGAACTCGAACAAAAGTTACTGGCTCATCTGAGAGTAACTCCAGACGGATTTGGTGTTGAGGCCTGGATCAACATGTCACTCGTTCATCAAAACTGGAGAGTGATAATATCGTTTAACCCGTAAAGGAAAACAGTGAAGCTATTGGAGTTTAAAGACATTATTTCACTACAAAGTCTGATGAACTGAGTTTTGATGTACTAAACTGGTGCATAATTGGATCGCTAATAGACCCTGTGCACGAGAAAATGCTTTCTTCCTGGTTTGAGACCGGATGTGGGGGTTGTACATTTCTGGTAGCTTTACTTTGCGGTCAATCGATACTGCGAAGATATTCTCCACAATCATGTCCAAAACGGAAAGATGGCGTTAAGTTACAAAGAGCAGAAGGTGGGAACGCTCACCATTACTATGTCATAAAAAAATAATGATCAGTTTTGACGTTTAAAGCTTTTAGATCGATCAGTTGTTTACATCACTCAACACAAGCAGAACTGCATCACTGCAGCAGAAGACACATCGTCCACATTCAGAAGCACATCTCTGTATAGTGACTGGTCTCATGATCTAAACAGGCAAATGTTCAGCATTCAAACTACAGGTGAAGAACAGTCAAACCAGATGTTTCCCCGTTATGTCGAGATCAGCTAGTCAAGTACACACCTACACAGCATGTAAACAAACCGTGAAAAAAGCCACACAAAAATGAATGATTGCTGGTAAGGGTTTCTATACATTAGTATTTACGAAGGGTATGTTGTCAGCCGCAGCTTTAAAGTTTCAAGTTCCACCAAGCAAAGGAAAAAGGGAAGTAATTTTGCCACTAATGTCAGTTCAGTTCCAGGAGTCAAAACTCAAACTGGAAGCAGAACAAATCCCACCGTTTGTTTTGTTCACACAGCAATCATTTACTAGAGAATTGCAAGCAGTTCAAAGCTAAAATACATCGGGATGAGTTGACTTTTATCAAGGAAAGGGGAATTTGTTTTGGTTGTTTGAAAGTTGGTCACACAAGCAAAGACTGTAGGAGTCGTTTGGATTGCAACGTGTGTCACCAGGGGTTCTTCATATAGAGCGAAGAGTTCCATGTGCATCCTCAGGTCATGAAGTTGATGCATTTTCTTTTCTATTTTTCCAGTTCAAGTTAAGAGCCAAAAGAGCAATAAAACTGTGCAAACCTTTGCATTTTTGGATCCTGGAAGTTCAGGTACATTCTGTACAGAAACTCTGGCAAAAAGACTGAATCTAAAAGGTAAAAAGACCAATATCCTTTTGAGAACAATGAGTCAAAATAGGATTGTTGGTGCACAAGTTCTGTCCGGTCTGGAAGTGTCTGGTACGGAAGCAAATGATTTCATGGCGTTGCCAGATGTTTTGACTCAAAAGACCATGCCAGTTTCTACAGTAAATATTCCCCAGCGAGGTGACATCGATCAGTGGCCTCATCTTAAACCTGTTAAACTTCACAACATTGATGCAGACGTGGAGCTACTGATAGGCACTGATGCTTCCAATGTTTGAGAGCCATGGAAGGTGATAAACAGTGTGGAGGGTGGACCTTATGCTGCAAAAACAACAGTTGGCTGGGTCATAATTGGTCCCCTGTGCACTGGAAGTAACAGCGGAAATAAAAACTGCACTGCTGTAACAGCCAATAGGATTTCTGTTGAGCGTCTTGAAGAAATGTTGATTAAACAGTACAATCATGAATTTAATGAAAGCTCCTCAGAGGAGCAGACTGAAGTCCAGAGAGGATCTGTGTTTCATGGATATTGTTAGTAGCTCAATAAAACTTATTGGAAATCCTTCTCACGTGGATTTGCCTTTCAGGAGAGATGGTCCCAGCTTGCCAAATAACCTCTGTGTCGCGGAGCAGCGTCTAAGGTTTAAGACCACTTTGAAGAAAGGAAATATGACTCCAGAATATGTAGCAAAGACAGAACGAGCTATTATTCAATATGCACAACAACAGAAATTTAAAACTGAAATGGCTTTAATCAGCAATGGTCTCAAAGGAGTCTCCAAGAGAAGTTGTCTCTACAAACTTGATCCAGTGTTGGATGCAGGGATCCTCTGAGTGGGTGGCCGAATGACTAAAGCAGCCACGACTATGGAAATAAGCATCCTGCAATTTTGACAAAGGATATGCATGAGTCACTGATTTTACGCCATATCCATCAAAGGTTGGGACTCGCAGGAAGAGCGACATGCTGTCAAAACTGAGACATAAATACTGGATACTAAGTGCAAATTCTGCTGCCAGGAAAATCATTTCTCGTTGGTCAAACAAAAGGAATTGCCACTACAGAGGGACACTCACCTGTCCTGTGCAGCTTGATTTGGGGTTTCCAGGTGATATCCAGCAGTCTGCGCTGACGGTCGATCTCTTCCTCGTACTGGACGATCGTTTTTTCAAACTCCAAGAATATTTGTTCAGCAGCAGCAGTTAGTCGCTCGTTGATGAACTCTCTCAGATACTGAACTGAAGGCATCGTTGCTGCCGCAGCTCACAACAACATAACCGACCTCCAGCTCAGTCACACAGACAGCTAACACTACTTCCGCTTTTTCCTTGTTCACTTCCGTCTAGTGTCGCAAATTAAAGTTCCGCCAGAACAGCACATAAGATCTATCGTACAGTTTTAGTTTGGATATTATTTCTGCTCCCGTATGAACAGATTCATCTGTAAATAAAGTTCACGTCCAAACAAAAGTCAAATAATCAGATATTTGTGATGCAGCTCATCAGAGTTACAGCTGTAAATGTCCATCAGCTTAAATACATTAAACAGCCAATCATATAGCCGCAGACATGTAAAACTCCACCCTGTGGATCACCAACATTAATATTGTTCTTCAGACTCTCTGAATCTTTTAATGTTGTAATTGTAACCGAGGACAAGGGAGGAGTAAACGGGGCACAGAAATAAATTGATAATTTATTTATTACATTAGTTAAACATACAAAGTCCCAGTTATTTCCAGACAGGACTTACAACATCCTGCTGATATCCCAGCTGCACATGAGACTTACCACACAAACGGTGTGCAAATTACACAACGCTGCAAACCGTTACATCCCGTTTAGCGACACTGCAACAGATTCACCTGCGGCACGCACTGCAAACAATTCGGGTCTCAGCACAGCTGGGAAGCAGCGCTATGCATGGCCTGTAATATAAAGGGAAGTGACACAAACAAATAAAAAAAAACTAAGGAGGTTAGTCCGCCCTTACACAACTCACTGCCAATCAATAACCGTCTTTACAACTGGACGGACTAACCAAAACAATCAAAAGAACGAAGGACAGCAGAGACAGCACAGCTGAAAAACACAAACAACATTAGTGATTAAAATATTACCCAATAAAATATCAATATTATGAAACCATTCAAAGTCAAAGCTAAAACAAACACTCAATATACCTACAATATTGATCAGTCTCCCTGCGCGCCGTCGATCTGGGGCTTGATCAATTCTTCCATTAAAAAAGTCCAACGACACATTAAAAATCGGCACCTACAATATGATCCAAACAAAATGGCAAAAGTCTCTTACCGGTAGTAGACCCACTCGCACCCGAGTGAATTAATCACCTCTGGGGTTTTTTTTCCCCACAGAAGAGCGCTGACTTCACCCCACACACCCACTACCTTTCCACAGCTCTTCAGCCAATCACCTGGCAGAGAGCAACAAGGTTGAACTGTAGATGATGAATCTGAGAAACATAATTGTTTGATTCCTTTGTCAGAGAGTGGATCCCTCTAACTCTGTCACTCTCAGCCTCTCTGGGACGATCTTTTTATCCACACGTTAATAACGCAGCTCATTAATGTCACGTGTTCAGCCTCTTCTTCCTTTGAATCACACTTTTCCAGTCTATTGTTGCCCCACCCTCACTTAAAAAACACGATGGGACAATAAGTACTGAAACAAGCTCAGATTTGTCAGATAATGAATAAATATTATCTTCATAATATTTTGCATAGATGTAGGCTCGAAGGTGCTCACAAATCCTTGTAAAGCTACTTTCAGCTGCTCTCTTAACCACAGGAGTTTTGTCACAGTAGGTTTGCTTAGTCCAATTTTTACATTTGATGCTCTTCCTGATGCAAAATCAGTATCGTCCTTTAGAGAAAGCTGCTCTCTCTTGTGACTGCTGCAGAGCTCCTCCTGGACTGCAGGGACAAAAGGAGATCAGAAGAAAACTCACATAAATTTAAAAAATGCATCTGTGCAAATATTTTGTTTCAACTACAAATAAGCTTGCTTCAGCCCGGTCATGAGACCGAGTAGACGTGCAGGACACATCAAAGAGTGAGAGTTAAGAGTCAACAGCAGCGCCTGTTACTGGAATAATGATCAAAATCTTTGATCATTCAAAGCCAAAAAGAGTCTGTCATCAAACCCTCAGATCAAAAAGGAAAGAAGCTCGTTCTCCTGCTGACAGCCAGTCTTTGGTTTTCACAGTGAAAAAGTTACAGAAAAAATAATAAGGAAGAAAAAGTGTTTCCATTTTGTCAGATTTGTATTGTTGGATTGTCATTTATGCTTAGAAATAGATATTTATAAATGCTTAGAAGTATATAATCGTTTGTAGATTGAAAGAATGTCTCATCCTAGGAGGTCTGTAACAACTCTGTGTAGCATGAAGAGGGGAGTGCGTTCACTCCTCTTCAGAGTGTTCTGGCACAGATCACACTCCTCCTAGGATCATGAGAGAGGTCGTATCTTCTCTTGTTGATATAGCGAGCACACGTATATCTGTTTGAGTGTAAGAGCCTTCTGTTTATGTGAACCGCTGGACTCCTGCCACCAGCTTTGGGGAGTCTTCAGAGTCACATCTTGACACACACACACCTGGGCGTACACACAGACAAGGTCTTCTTTGTATACATGTGTGCCTGTGTATGACGTCATATGTTAATGAACTTATGCATATTCATGTAACCACAATGAAAGGAGTGCTACAGGGAACCTGGCTGAGAGTCTGACGGAGGTCAGGTGGCTCCAGTTGGGTCTCCCTCATGCATGAGTAACACAAAGAACTTTGGTGACTTGCGTCTTGCTTTTTGCTGTTGTAGTAAAATTGTCTCATTCCAGCGAAGGGCTGTGCTACACAGACCCATCGCATTTCATTTACTTTGTTCATGCATTTGTGATCCATCCTAGTGAATCCAGCCTCCAGCCTGAAAGCTAAAGTGCTTCTATTGGTTCAGTAACAGGAAGTGTAAGAAAGAAGTGAAAAAATTTATAAAACAGGAAACAGCGATTCGGGGAGGAGCACGGAGGAGTGATTGAACTGCAGAGGAGAGAAAACCTTCCACGTTTCATTAACAGACCACAAAGGTTAAAGATTTCCAACATGCTGCCTCTGGACTGTTATCTTATTTCTCTCCTGATTATGACTTGTCTAACAGGTACGATATTATGTGTTGTATACATTTAAAAATATTTTAGTCATTGATAAATGTGATTACACTGAAGAAAATGGGACATTGTACAAACATATTTGTCTCATTTTAGGAGTCAGATGTGAAGAACTCACTGCAGACAAGGAAGACACGTCCAGTTTGGAAGGCAGCGCTGTTACTCTGTCCTACAGATACTCCAAACAAGCGTATGAAAGCGATGAATTTTACTGGTATCGACAACATGCAGGAAAAGCACCTGAGCTCCTGATCGCTCACGTGGGATCAAAGAATTTAATGAAACGAGAATCCTCCAGAGTGTCTTTCAAAGTGGTCGATGACAGAAGACAAATAACGATCTCCTCTGCTGCAGTGTCTGACTCTGCTATGTACTACTGTGCTGTGAGGCCCACACTGACAGGAAACAGCAAAACTCTGTACAAAAACCTTTGGAGCAAAGACAACAGAATACTCCACAACATCCACTAGAGGGAGCCAAACATCTTTGTTAGGATACAGACTAACTCATAACACAGCTGTGATGAAGAGCTTCAGGTGAAGTTAATGTGATGTGAGCCTCCTCCTCCTCCTGACTGCAGAAACCTGTCTGACTCCAGCTGTGAACATCAGACCACTCACAGCTAACTCCCAGTGAACATCACTTCCAACATTTCTCCTCTGGAAACATGGAAAAACTGGCTGTGATCTGGATCTTTGCAGCTCTCGTAGGTACGTATGTTTCTGACAGGAACACCTGAAGTTCAAAGACATGTTTACAGCGTTACAGATCCAGTTTGGACTTTCTTTGAGCTCAAGTTTGGAGTGATGATTAAACAGAAAAATATTTCAATTGTGAAATCAGAGAAACGTCTGAGAAGATTAGCAGTAAAAGCTGTAAAAAAACACAGTAATATTCCCAGATACTCAGCCTCATGGACAATGTTAGTCTGATGGCTTCATTTTCTCTACTTTTCCAGGACTAACAGCTGGAGACTCAATCACTCCTCAACAAACTGAAGTCACTGAAACAGAAGGAGAATCTGTCAAACTCACATGTAGCTATGAGACGAGTGAGAGCGATGTTTGGCTTAACTGGTACAGACATCATTCTGACCTTCAGGCTCCTCAGTTTATACTCTACAAAGGAGCAAGATCACAGAGTGGCAATGATTATATCCCTGATAATCGATATGACTCCGAAACATCACCTACATCAACTAATCTGACCATAGCAGCCCTAACCCTGGCAGACACAGCTCTCTACTACTGTGCTCTAGAAACACAGTGATACAAAGTGTAGAAGAGGCTGTACAAAAACCTGAACACAGATATCTGACTACTCTTCAAAGAGGAGGGAAGTGGTATTCAAAGCACAGCTTCATATCAGATGGATTCTGCTAATTCCTGTTTTATCAGAGTCACTGTGGTTACAGCTGCTAATGAAACACTGTGGGAGGATTCACATGAGCAGCAAATCCACACCAACCACAAACCAACTGCAGGAACGTTCAGACATTTCAGAATCAGAGAAAATTTGTTAATCCCAGAGGGAAATTGAGTTGTCATGGCAGCAAATATATAACAAACAACAAGCACTTATCTAAAATGAGTGTAGAAACAGAGTATTGATAGATAAATACATAAATATAGAGATATAGGTATAAACATAAATTGACATTAGTGATGAGGTGTGTGTCTGTGTGTGTGTGTAAGAAAAAAGCATCAGAAGTCAAATAAAGTAACTAGTAATAAACTCCCAACATTGTTGGTGCATTAATGATGTTTTATAGCTGAAAGATTTACTTTGTTATTCTCACATTTTCTCCAGAAGGGTTTAAACTTGTAATTGAGACCTAAACTGATTGCACTGGCACCAAGTCACCAAAGGATTGTGCACACAAAACAAAGATGAAGAGATCTCTACCCCTAACCCTTTTGATACTGCAATACCTGCTTGTAGATTTGTCATAACTTTGACTGACAGCTACTCCAAATGGCCTGAGCTTGCCTTTTCACCTTCTGCTACTACTAATGATGTTATTCACTTTCTCTCATCTGTCTTTTGTCATCATGGCAACCAGAGACCATCGTAACAGACAATGGTACACAGTTCACCTCTGTAATGTTCACCTCATTCCTCCAGAATAGAGGCACCTCCCACAGCAGAACATCTGTCTACTACCCAGCTGCAGACGGAGCAATCGAACGGTTTCTTATTATTATCTCTTTTATTGGGACAGCTGTTGAACATAACAGTAGTATGCCTTTTTACATTTTCTTTGCTGTCACATTTTAACTTATAATTGAAAAATAAAGAAGACAGAAAAAAAAGAGAAAAGAAAAGAAGAAAAAAACAAAAACAAACAACCCCCCCCCCAAAAAACAAAACAACAACAAACAAACAAACAAACAAACAAACAAACAAACAAACAAACAAACAAACAAACAAAAAAACTAGGGCTAGGAGGCAGCAGGGCAGGTAGGTTTACATAATACTCAGGGTTGTAACATCATACACAAAATCACACCTAATATGCTTAACATAGTCTGTCCATTTAGACCATATTCCGTAGAAGGTATCCCTCTGAAGTTTAAGAGAAAATGACACTTTTTCCATCGTATAGATCTCTTGTACAGAATGTATCCAGTCTTCTATCGTTGGTGGTTCAGGCTTAAGCCATCTTCTCGTAAGAGGCTTTTCACTTGCGGCCAGAAGGATATACAGGAGTCTTCTGTCGTTGGAATTCAGTTTATCCA